TTTTAATTATAAGAGCCATTTATTAATGAATAGTAAAAATTAGTTTTAAATGATTAAATGATAAAATATATAAAATATAAAATATTTTAAATTTATTCATTTCAAATGAAAAACATAAAAAGTTTCATATGGATATAATTGCTATTATATAATAATTAGAAAATATTAAGAAAAAAATTAACTATTTAATATTAGATTTTATGGAAGGTATAATTTTTAAAATAATCAAAAAATAAAATAATGCTTGGTTTAGTTAATTTTTTAATATAAAATTTATTATTATTTCTTATATCACCAAAAAATATATATAAATTATATAAGTATAGTTTATAATGTTATTTATTGAATGTATATCTGTAAATTTGTATTATAAAAATGTTATACACACAAAACTAGACTATACAAATACATTCATAATTTTAAACATTATCCTGCATTTAAAATGATTAAATTAATATTTTTATACGATTTAAAACATGTTTTAAAATTCTATAATATATTTTAATTCATTCATTTTGATGTTAATAAGTAAATCAGAACCTTTATATTATTATAAATTATGATTAATATTAAGTTAATTTATTCATATTTTAATATGTTAAATAATATATAATAAATTACTTAATATATATACTTGTATATGTCTTCCTTTTAATGTAAATACTATCGTTAAACTATATAACTTATTAGAAAAACTAGTCAATTTTCTATCATTTTCATGCAATAATTTTTAATATAATAGAAAAATACAGTTGTAATGGTAAATTTTGAATTTAAATTGAAATAATTATTATAAAAATATAAAATCTATCTTGTTTTACTATCTTGTTTTCAATAGTATATATTCCAGTTTTTTTTAATTAATTATTGAAATAATTTTTTTTTTTCAAGTAAAATTTGATAAATTGATATTCTGAATATATTTATACAACGTTAGAGGATTGTAATCATGTGCAGTTATATTGATAATGTTATATCTACACAGATTGTATATTTATAATATAAATTGATGCTACAAACACAATATCATGCCTCATATAAGTAGATATTATGTCACCTTTAAGCAACAATTTTAAAATATATATATTTGTTTTTAACATTTTACAAGTGCTGATATATATTTAAGTGTTTAATTTATTTTTTTTTATTAGTTTTAATTTTTCATCATAATTCTTATATGTATATATTGTTCATTCACGTTTTACTTGAAAGATGCGCAACACCTCACTAATTAAAATAATTATTTTCTTCTTATTATAGCTTCATATTACAATTTTTAAGAGTGTTAGTATATAGATAAAAATTTTAATTCATAGTCAATATTTTTGTTTACATAAACTGATCTTTTATCTTTTAAATATATTGAGTGGAATTCATAGTTGTTCAATTCTATTGCAAATCAATAGTGCATCTATCTAAAGTTCTGTTCAATGATACTGGCTGTATAACTGCATTCATTATTATTATGTTTACTTCCTGAAAGTGCTTTGTCAATATTTATGCTTTGATTTTGAAAGTGATTTCGTTGTTTACAAGATAATTCGGAAATATTTTATCAATTCTGAAAATTGCTATATTTTCGTCATATTTTATCGATTAGATAACCCTAGAAATTTTATAGCTTTGTGTTAGGAATGATTAATTTTGTTATCTATATAAAAGTCTAAAAACTCGACATCATTATCGATACAATTTTAGTGTACTTTAAATTGAGTTTTTGAATTGGCCAGAATCTCACTTTATATATACCCATTGTTATAAATATTGTTAACCATCTTTTTGAAAATTTTGTTGAAAAGACTTTAGTCAAGAATCAATAAATCAGATATTAAATAAATCGTTTAGTACAATTTTGACTAGAAAATTATTCGTTTAACTGATACAGATTTCATTGTTTCTATTCCTCTTTATTACACTATCATAGCGTTGTAGTATCATTGAAAACAAAACATACTCAAGGCTCTTCATGTCATAGGAACAAGCTCTTCTCTTCCTCCTCTGATTAATGATGAATTATAAACTTGAAAGGTTTTCTTTCTATACTCTCCCCGTATAATACATCCACTATTATTTCCATTCAAACCAATGAATAAAAAGTTGATGTACTTATGATATAGAGTCTATTTTATCAACTTCATATTATAATTAATTCTGTATGCTCTTCAAAGGAGATCAAATAATCATTTTTTACATATTCAGCCAACTCATAATGCACTTTGAATGTACACTTGAATATTCGCTCTTATCATATTAATCAATTATTTATTCATAAAATAATTTAAACAAAATTTAATTATGAATCCAGATAGATAATTTTTAATTATCTGTCTTATTTTTCTTAATGGTTGAAAAAATTAAAATCTTTTGATGTATTCTTTTTTTTCAAATGTATATATTTACATGAAAAAAGGCAATTCACTTCCTACCTAAACGTGATACGAGTTAAGTTATTTGTAATATTTTAGTAATATGTTTATATTTCAAATATCTACTATAAATTGTTAATTAATATTTCATTTGTATTTAATTTTTAATAATTATATGATAAATTATCAAAAAAGCTATTAATTTATATATATTATGATACATCGTTAAGTTAAAATTTAGCATTAATTAAGGTTTTTATTTGAAATATTAATTTCGTAAACCTATTTTTATTTTAGTTAATTTGAAATTAAATATATGCGAAATATTATTATATTGAAGATTGAATAAAAGAATCTACAAATATTGGATGTTTGACAAGCCTAATCATTGGTTATATTAAATGTATTATATAGTGTATTACAGTTACAATAAATATAGAACGATAGAGTATTATTTGTTTGTAATAGTTATTATTTGTTACTTATAGATTTGTCGCATTCATGTTTAGTTTAGTATCAAACAAATTACATTTTGATAATATTATAATAATTATCAAAAAAGATAATAAATAATATTGAAATAAAGTACAACTGAAATTTACAACTGAAATTAACTTTAAATATATTAGTTAATTTATATATAGTTCTAATTAAATATTTTAAGAAAGACTATTAGAACAATCGTAAACATATCTATCATATCTCTGTAAATTGACAACTGAACGTTATCTACTAATTCATGCTTTATCATGTTGAAGTTATAATTTGTTTAAAATGGTTTAATAATCTACTTTATTTAGCGTAAAAGCATGTTCAAATTTTTTTATTTAATTTTGTAGTTAAGTGGATGATAAAAATTGATAATGATTAAGATTAATAAGTATAAAATATGACGAAACATTAAAGATATTACAAAAAGCAAATATCATTAGCTTACATTTTCTCGCTTCGTTCTATTGTATTATTTTTATCATTTACTGTTATCTGTTCTGTCAAACTGATCTTTAACTGGTGTTCACTAATGCTTATTTAACTTTTATTTATTAATCTTTAAGGTATTAAAATACTGTTGAGAGTATACAAAATATTATTGAGAATAATTTGAAAGAAACATCTATTTTAGAGTAAACCTTGTTGAATTTGTCTGTGAATATTCCCTATAAATGAATTTATCTCTAGGTTATTCATTATATATATTTTGTTAATAATGATCATCAAAAGTGTTATAAAATTAGCAATGGAAGACCTTTTAATGTTATACATTAATATAACGTTTTTATTATGCACTTACAAACAGAATAGCCGTATGTTTTTACATTAGAGGTTTTCATAATAAATGATCAATCTTTAATTCTCATTAAAAAAAAAAATTAATTGGATGTACAACATATTGAATTTTTATTTAAACGCAGTTATAGATTTTAAAGATTCAATTTTTTACGTTGACCAAATTTCAACAGTTTTAAAAAAATTTTAAATCTCTAATTTTAAATGATTTGTTTAAACTCTGAGATTCTAATATTTTTTGAAATTCTAACATTAATAACTTTATTATTACCTACGATTTTTTTATTAGTATTTACCTATAATGACAAAACCTTATTATTCCTTGCATTTTATAATATGAGCTGATTATTACGATAAGTAAGATCATTAATATATTTTGATTATTAATTATTATTAATTCATAAGATACTAATTTACATTAATTATTGAACTTTAAATATTCTACTAAGAGTATTGACTTTTATTAAATACTATAACAAATTATGTATTACAATATTTAAATACATTAATCATTGTAAAAAAACTGAATTCAATTACTAAGATTTATTAAAATTAAAATACTTACGTTGCTCATAGTAAATTTAAGTTAGAGATTAAGTTGAAGCGTATATAAAATTTTTATAACAATAAATTTTAATATTTAAATTTATAAAAACTATATTAGCGATTTCCACATAGAAATATTTTGGTTATTAAACTACGTTGAATACAGGAATCTAAATCTAATCAAAATGATACAAAAACTAATTTTGTATTATAAACGCGATTAAGATCAAATAAATATATAAAGTTAATAGTTAGAAGTTCTTAGCCGCAATATGTTAAGTAAATTATATTAGTCAAAGGGAAACTTCTGTGTTTAATTCCCTTTCATCAAATTCCATGAATTGCTGACTTATTAAAATGAGTGTATTGAAGGTTATCATTTTTTACTATTATACTTTTTGTTTACTAATTCTTATTACAATAATTAACGTAACTATCAATAACAGAAAATTTTCTCCTATAAACGTGGTTTATAAAATTATAGTTAATAACAAGATTCAATTTAACGCAAGTCAAATATATTAAATATTATTGTCTATTTTTTAATTACTATCATCTGCATAATTAACATTAGATATTACGAAAATTTTTAAACGTGTTCTGTTTAGTAAGTAAGTAAAATTAATTTTGTTAATAAAGTAAATCATATTAAATCAATGATAAGCAAAAAATTTAAAATAAATAGAAAGCATAAAAAATTAAAATGTAAATTATTGCAATTGTATTTATAAAATGTAATATCAATTTTATCATTTACAAAAGCTCTTAAAAGTTTAAAGCGCATAAAGAAATAGGACTCACCTTGTGTGCTCTGAGGGTTTTACCCTCACAGGCAAGAGTAACATCGCAGTAGGCCTGACGCTCGAGTAGCTGTGAGAACATAGTCTGTAGGTTGCTGTGATGATATTTCCATCGTAAGCAATATTGCTGAGGAAACATTTTGCTAGTGTTGACTGTTGGTGGGGTTACTAGGCCCGAACCACTACCTTGCTGCAGCATAAGCGCTTCGGCAGCCGCCAAGGCTCATGTAGTAATTTCTTAGTTGAAAAAACCTGCCCGTCACCACTGGCACGTCTTCCGTCTCCGCCGTCGGGGCAGACGACGACGAAGACGTCGATCTGTAAGCCAAGAACCACCTTGGGTTTAATTTTTTATTTTGAGATTATTTAAACTGTTATAAAATTGTTTAAGAAATTAGTTTGTTATATAATATTTAGTTTTTATTAAATAATAATAAACATTATATATTTTGTTTGTTTTGTTAAATATTTTTACGTTTTAACCTAAGTTGTGTATATGTTGATATTAGATTTTAATATTGAATTTCTACCTTCATTGATTTAAAATTGAAATGTTTAAAAACTAATAATACCTCGAAATGCGATATACTGAAAACAGTAGGAAAAATTTTTAATTTATATTGAATTAATTTTATTCTAAAAAGATAATAAATATAAATAAATATTTATGTCAACTAAAATACATTTAAATTTATTTGTTTCATTTATATATCACAAATATATGTTCGCGAATAAATTAAAAAATAAAAGTGCACGATATAAGTTAATAAATATTCAACTATAATTAATTACATTGTTTTACATGTACAGATAAAAATATATTGTTTATTTTTTTAAATAAATGAGATTACAAATTTGAATCTTTAAAACTAAAATAAATAAGATCTAATTAAAATTAACTATAATATATCTATACATTTTTATAATATCAAAATCTATCTTAAAATCTATTGCAAAAGATACATGATATAAGTCACATTTATTTGAACATAAGAGAAACTCCTATATAACATGGTAACGTTTCAAGTTTGCATATTTTTTTAAAAGATAACTACATTTATATTTAAAATTTATATTTATAATTTCAAATAAACTATGAATTTCTTGTTTAAAAAATTTACAACATATGAATCAATGACATAAATAATAAAACATATATAATAACATACAACATATATAAGCATATTTAATAAAACAAATAAATAAATGAGAAAATTCATTGTTTAGAAAGAAGTTGTATAACATTTTTGTGTTAGAATTTAAAATTTTATTTTTTACAAACATTGTTGAAAATAATAACTTTAATTAAACAATAAATTAAAAAATTGTAAGAAAGATTCTAGTTTTGAAAAGCTCAAGAAATTGATAATCTAAAAAAGGAACCAACTAATTATAGAATTAAACTAATTTTGAGAAAATTTCAAATATTGAAATGATGAAGTGATGAATAATGTTTTTTTAGTAATTGAATTATTAATTTGTATTCGTATATATTTAAATTCATTGTCGTATTAATTTTCTATGTAAAATTAAGCGAAGCAAGTATAATTAGTTAAGTGTCTAATATTAGTGTTGAATACGCAAAGTCAAAATGATATTTATCATCCATGTTTCCATCGCTTCTATAATCTATGTAATACATATCCTATCATATAATAAATGAGTAAAGAGTATTATTATTTTATTCTACGGCTGCTTTTCATTTCACGGAAATCTTCATTTCGCTTTGATGTAGTAGAATACTATTTAGTTTTTCATTTAATTTTAAATACAAGTTAGTTCAAATATTTAAAAATAGTAAATATAGGCTATAGAAAGCGGAAGAAAAATATATTCTATGATGTAAAAGAAAAATACCTAAATCTTCGGCTTCGTGGCGCTGCTCGTTGGTAATTGACTCTGCACCTTGTTAATAGACTGCAACTTTCTTTGCCTTTTTTTACTCTTGGTTTAAATACCTTTATTGACAATTAGAAATGATCCACTTAGCGTCTGCTATTATTGCTGCACTATTAAGACTGTGAACTTAACTCTGTTTCCTGTAAAAATTGAACAAAAATCAGCTACTTATTTTATTTGAACAATTAGATTAACACTTACAAATATGTACATTTCAAAATAAACTAGTGAGATATTTGCCAAGCTTTCTGATAATATTATAAAAGTTTATATACAAGTATATAATAGTGAAATGAGAAAAGAGTCAAAAATGAGTATTTCATCTACCTAGATTTTTGCTTATTACTACATTAGAAATCCGATATTTTTTAATATATGAAACAGGATATAATTAATTTGTTTTCATATTTCCAATGGTTAATTTTAATTGTAGTATATCTATTACACAGTAACTTTTTGGACTAGAAATAGACTTTAAAGAGTAAAAAATTGATATATAAAATACTAAGAAATATAAAAATGCCTAAAAATGAATAAGAAACATATAACATGGGAGATCACCTGTAAAAAAGGAAAAAGGAAAGAGGGAGAGAGAAAAAGAGAGAAAATAATAATAGAGATTAGTCTTTATATTTTTATATTATAAAGATAAGTTTATATAATGATAAGTATTAAAATTTATTAGTTATAACTAATTATGTATTTTATTGATTATAAGCAACGTAAACAAGTTCGCAAAAAGCCAATCAAAATCTATATAAAAAAACTTAAATATTCTTATGTATTTCATTTACTCTATTTTTACGACTTCTAAAATCAACCTAAAAATTAATTTGATTTAATATTCACATTATCTTTTCTAATAACTTAACAGGTAACTAAATGCACAATAAAAAATAATAAACTTATGCATAGTAATATTTTCTCATTGTACAAATAACGTTGGCTGATTTATTCTGAAAGCTAATATATATATATATTTATATATACAATAATTTAACTGTTATGTTACACAAATTAAGTTTATCTAAAACTGAGATTTTATGATGTTCTTCCCTTTAAGTTTGGAAATGTTTTGTTTTTAAAATTTATTTTATCAAAATGTTTAAATTTATTATTTGTTACATATATTTTTAAAATCAATTATTTATCAGTAAAAATAATGCCATTTATTTAAATTATTTTGATAAGATAATGTATAAAATATATTAAATTACTGTATGTAATAAAAAGTTATATATTTCTTTTTTGAACATAGATCATTAATGAAGATAATAAATATTCAGTATATCATTTTTACTAGTTATGTTCAATAAAAATTCAATAAAATAATTTGTACATTATTCTATATATATACATATGTTTGCATTTATTTATATTTATTTGAGTAAATTTTTTAATTTAAGTAATTCGTTAGGTTAACCGATTAATTATTTAGTAAAAACTCATTTGTTCAAAGTATATACATAGCAGGTTTTAAAATACCTACTGTAAAAGAAAAAGATTCTTATACTTCTAGCATCGGGTTTCTTCCAATGCTAATTGGAAAACGAATTTGTTTGGTTAATCGATAATTTCCTTCATTCAACTACTTAAACATTGCAATACATTAACAATTGACTTATAAGAATTATTTTCACATAATCAAAATGGACAAGAACCATAAAAGCAAAATGAATATGTAATTAGTTTATCAAACTATGTTTAAAGGAAATGTAATTTAAAGATATGGACAAAATTTAATGCTTGTACCTAAACCAAAAAAAAAATTATTTATTTATATTTGAAAATATGAGCTATACTTTATTAGAAATAAAAAAATAGTATTTATTTTATATTTCATAAGTAAATAATAGTACATAAAATATCGTTCGTCTTTAAATAACCAACCATTGTTTATATTCAATGGATGAATTGTAATACTAAGATCAAGAAAATAATAAATCAATTAAATAGTATCTTCTTGATTGTATTAAAATATTTTTTTTTTACTATTGTTATTAATATCATTGTTAATAAGTAAGTATTTATAAGTATAACTTCATAATAAATTCAATTGTTATTACATTATGTTTAGGTATATATTAACAGATTCTAAATATTTTTCAAAGTATAATTGCAACTATATACAACTGCTTCAATTTATTTGTTGGATCCGTTATTTGTATTAACTAGGTCATGAGATGGTCCATCTTTTGAACCTTTTATTAATACTTTTAATTTTTGTGTCAATTTGAATATCAACTATATTATTTTATCATACAATTTCAATATTTACGTCTGATACTCTTCTACTTATTATTCTTAAGTATTATGTACTATTTTTTACTGACAAACACATGATTAGCAGTACCCTTATAGTATGCGAGTTTGATTTGGATTCTTATTTCTTTTATCGGTAATGAGACACAATTATTGATCAAGAATCATAATTATTGATGCTTGTTAAAATATGAAAAAAATCGATGAAAATTGAAAAATTGTAAATTTTGAGTTTCGATCATTATTATGCACCTATCAAATTCTCTATTTTCTCTATTCATGTGTGATATTCATATATCAATGAAAATAGACAAATATTTAAAAATATTATACGATATTTTATACGAAGCAATATTACTATACGAAGCAGTATATTATAAGTTAAAATTATGCAAAATCTATCTAGCGTAATATGAAAAACGAAAAGGTTCAATTAAAATTTTTAAAACCTGTGTAATTATATTTATACAAAAAAATTTATGTCTATTAAATTTAAAAAATTTTAATTTAACATTTTTATTTTGGTTTCTAATCAAATGTAATTATTATAGCTACTTAATATTATTGCTGTACTTAAATGTTAATAAATTATTGATGGCTATACAGCAGGTTTACCCATTGTATGATATTGCTCTGATTTTCTTCTGATTTTACAATATTAAATATTATTAATTTTAATAGTTCTTCTTAAAATTAATAATAATTTGCTGTAATTATAATATGTAAAGCATACCTGCAACCAAAATATTATTGTTAGGAATGTCATAAAGGAAAGAGGTGCGTCTGATTGAATGATATCGAGCTTCTAAAAGATTATTGCTTAATCATAATATTCTTCTATAATTTTTTGATTTGTCAATATTAATGGAATTTCAAGAAGATTAAACTTTTAATATAAAAATACTACTGTTAGTAATACTATTATTGATATTTTTAAAACCTTAATCGTAGTTAAATGATCATAGATTCCAAAACAAAATTAAATATAACCAATCTTTTAACAATCTTTTAATACTCTTTATTGTATCTAGAAAAGGTAAAGTTGACCTTGTTTTACAGAAAACAGTTTTTTAACGGAAACTTCATTTTTTTAACTGATTGATTACTCGATTTTTACGATTATTAACTTTTAAATCCTATGAATATGTTTAAATAGAAAAGTGAGCTAGTATAAAGTGATTGAATTTTTATAATTGCCTGAGAATCTACTTATAACTGCTCTATTTATTATTTTGTTTATAACACTTATTTTTAAGAAGATACTCGTTAAATGTAATAAGTTACTTTTTTAACATTTTAACTTTTAGTGAATATCTAGAATCCTATAATTTGGGACTACTTAGAATCTAATATCTATAATATTTAAATATCTTATAAACTTTTTATTTTGTATACAATTAAAAAAATGATATATTTACATGCATTTTTTAATATTTTGAAAGGTTTCTATATGGAAAGATTGATTAATGAAAACTAAGATGTATGTTCTACATTAATAATAATCCTAATATATTTACATCAAATACTGCAACTAGATTTTTAGTTTATATTATACAATGTAAGATTTGCTAATAAATATATAATAACTTATGTGTTTGACAAATTAAAATATTATATATATATATATATATATATATATATTAGAGAGAGAGAGGGAGCGAGAGAAGGTTGAATGAGGTATACATGAGAAACGACAAAAGTTGTAGAAATAGTGATATTGACATTGATAGTGCAGAAAATAGAAAGCAAAACATAAAATACTTTTTTAATATAAAAACAGAAAAATACTAATTTTTCTCATTAATCTCATTTTTAATTGATGAATTTAATACAGTGATATATTATAATGACTTATGATATGAAGTTATTTGTAAATTTTTTCGAGAACCACAATACCACCAATTAAAGAATGGTTAATACGATGGCTATTATTTTTATAAAATAAAGATGTACATAATGGTTTTTTTAATTTTACAACAAATACATTTAGACTTTTTGAATGTGAAGTTTGTAGTTATCAAAGATGATAAATCGTAATAATGCAGCTTGATTATAAATAAATTATTTATTATTGCAAGTATGAAACAGATAAATAAGTTATAATTGTATTGTATTAAGTAGAATTGGTGTTATTTTTTATACAATAAAAATAATTTTTAATATTTGGGTAATATTATCGAAAAAAATTAATTTTGGTATGCATTAATTTAATGATATACATTGATAATAATTTCTAATCCATAATTAATATTGTTAAAAATTTAATTTTTATAAAATCGAACATTGTATAAGAAATACTCAGTAAATATTTTGCATATTTTCTAAAAGCAAGCTCGAAATTAATAAAATGACAATATTTTTCAAATTAAAAATTGATTAAATAAACTACTAAACAGTCGTTACATTAAAAGAAACTATAGGGAATAATTGTAGCTACTATTGCATACATAGCGTAATATATATAATTTCCATAATTACGCACTTTGACTACATAGATAGATTACATTTTGATGTTTATCTTCAATTGTGAACATTCTCTAAATTGTCTTAAAATATTATTAAGACTTCAAAATATACTTTTTTTTGTATTCAAAATTATATAACAAATCTGCTCGATCCTGTTGACGAATTACAGTTTTTATAGTTTTACATTTACTTCGATTCAGTATATTTTTTTGATTAAAATATTTAATTGATTACTCAATTCACTGATTTAATACCTATTGTGAATAGTAATTTTTACTATTTTCATATTATGTTCTACTAATTCAATTTTATAGAAAACGTATATTTAAAGTTTTATAATGTATTAAATAAGTAAATTTTATATATTACAAATTTTTGTTAAATATCATTATTTTGACTGCA